TGTTGCTAGGGTCAAGTTGTTCTGCAGGCCACCATGCAATATCCAGCTGCTCTGGGAGAAACCTGGTACCAGGGATGGAACCTTATATCTCCACATGTGCTCCAGTTCCTTGTGCTACTTCCCCAGGCTATCTTGGCTACATGTGTCCAAATACAAGAATAACCTTAAAAATGTGCTGCTTAGTGAATTCCTCACTCACCCAATCAATAAATCCTGGTGTCAGACAGTGTCTTTGACCCCCGGGTTAGAAGGTGAAGCATAATGGTTCTTATTCTCAAGAAATTTACAGTCTAGTGATAGAAACATGAGCAGAGTATCTACAATATTATAAAGTGACAATTGCTAGATCTGAGGCAAACCCAGAGTCCCAATGTGATCACAAGAAGGGCATTTATATTAGACTCAAGAGTTTGCCTGATTTAGCTTTCCGGAAAAGATGGTTCTTGAGGTAGTATTGGAAAACCAGGATGAGTTAATAATTTAGATGCACTAAGTGAAGGAAATAATTTTAGACAAAAGTAGCAGAGCTGCTCTGAAGGCACAGAGGCTTGAAACCTCAAAGTTCACTTAAAAAACTGTAAGTCGTTCAGTAAGTGTGGAAGAGTCTAGAGAAGTAGTTGAGTAGAAGGAGTCTGCTTAGGAAAACAAGATTATTTTGGTCTCAAGTGATAGAGTTAAGTTTAAACTTTCCCACAACTTATGAACAGCATAGGTAAAGGTAAAAGGTAAAGGCCCTCCCGTTGATCGTCGATTTGCTCGAGCGGGCCCAGTAACGTCTCCATTGGAGACTTTGTTGTTACTGTGTCTGGCATATCGGATACTCTCGGTAGCTTGCCGGGCTCTCCGAGAGGGGCGGAGGAATCGAACTCAGGTCGGCCATGTTGGCCGCTTGTAAGGCGAACGCCCTACCGCTGTGCTATAGATGCCTAAAATAATGTCAAATAAAGGTAAAGGTAAAGGCCCTCCCGTTGATCGTCGATTTGCTCGAGCGGGCCCAGTAACGTCTCCATTGGAGACTTTGTTGTTACTGTGTCTGGCATATCGATATGAACAGCATAGAATAATTTTAATTGTGGGACTGGTGTGCATTGTAGAAAGTTTCCTCCAGCAGAAATGTGTAGGATGAACTGAAGAAGGATGGTGAGAAGGAAGACTTGATGAGTAATAAAGATGAGAATGAAAGAGAAATTGAAGAAAAGCATAAGCACTGAGAACAATCAAATGGACTCAAAAGTAAGATCAAAAAGTAAGAAGCGAAGGACATTAGACTGACAAGAGACTGTGAGGAGAGTGTGAGGAAAATCTAGTCTAGCACAGAGTGCTGGGCAAGTCTGTCAAGAGCGCTGCACAGTAAATAGTAAAAGTAAATTTGCTCTAGGAAAGGGTACTTATTCTTCATTAGAAGATGCCACCCAATAAATAAGCTTTTTAGAAGTTTGCTTAACTATAAAATAAAAATGGAAAGTTGTGGCAGCAAATTCCCATTACAAGATACAAATATACCTCTGGAATCAATGGATTCTCTTTGTTCTTTCGCTTGGCTTGTGTTATATAAACTCAGTTCCTTTAAGACTGAGAGACAGAGATTAGGGTACGTGATGGCCACACAAACCTAGGCCTCCAGAGTGTCACTGGGTATAGTTCTGGAGTCCCCAAGCATTGCTGGGATGGCCTGGAGATCACACCATCACTGACCAGGAGCAGCATTGTATGCTCAGACCCTATCATTTCAGATTTGATTGGCTGAAAGCTGGGAAAGGGCTGCAAGTTCCCAGAGCACTACTTGAGAGCCCTCCAACCCTGCAAAAAATAAAGTAAAAATAATAAACTGAGTTCCTTCTACTTCCCTTCACCATATATAAATGTTCTCAGTGAGCAATCTAGAGAATAATTGCAAACTATCACAATGCATGTTCTATTTAAGCATTTTAAACTAGTTTCACAAATATATTTAAATAGTCATAGCCTATAGTACAGCACTTCTCCTAAAGTGATTATAGGTACTTAGATTGAGTAGAAGTTTCATTAATAAATCACTGTGTTTTATAGACATCAAAATTATTAATTGTTCTGACTCTACTATACAGATTTTACTTGTATGCCCATGTATTACTTAGCATAAAAACTATCTTCATAACTTACTATATTTTAGTTGCTCAATCATGCAAATGTATATTTTTGCCATATAAATACAGCTGAAATTCCTAATGTCCCTGTTTTTTTTAATAAACCCAATGTTCTCCTGAAAATTCTTTAAAACCTTATAATAATTTTTTTAAGTGAGTAAATAGAAATCATAACTGTATGACTAACTGGGAATGCATATTTATATCATAAATTAGTAACTAACCTTCAAAGGTGCAAAACATTATTAAATATATTTAATCATTAAATTCATCTAGCATCTCTACAACATACACTTAATATTTTAAATTTAATCAAAGGTAACTTTCAACTTTTGGAGACTATAATAGCTTCAAATATCAATTCTTATATTGTAGATTTTTATAAATGACACTTTTACAAAATGCTCTGCAATTAAAGACTAAAAAATAGGTTATATATACCAAAGTGGAAGAATGCAGACAATAAGACAATCTAAAAAAATTATTTTTTAATTTGTTCTTTTAGGTTTGTGATTTGTAACACCAATCATACTTTTCTCACAAACATAATAAAAGCATACTGAATATTTCCCAACTCTGAATGGAAATAATTATGTAAATAATCAAAAATTAATAGAATAGTTACATTTCATAAATTTACTTCCTAAAATAACTATAAGCGAATACTATGAGCATGGAACTTTATTTAAGATTATTCTGACATATTAATAAGCTTGATATATTACTGAAGAATCTTCCACATTTTTTACAATGGAAGTCAATACATTTTATGACAAAAGTTCAATAAAAACATGAAATAGCAATGTTAAGATTAAATTTTTAAAGTGAACCAGATTAAAATATGTTAATGAAAAGCACTATGTATATTCAACACATTATATATGTATATATATATACATATATATATTTCGCTTTTTGGATCACACCCAGCGATGCACACAGGTTACTCCTGGCTTTGCACTCAGGAATTACTCCTAGCAGTGCTCAGGTGACCATATGGAATGCTGGAAATCAAACTCAGGTCAGCCAGCCACATGCAAGGCAAACACCATACCTGCTGTACTATCACTCCAGCCCCTCAAAACACACAATATTAGTCACTTAAAATGAAATAATTCTTAGAGTTTAGAATTATTAGAGTTGAATATATTTTTCCAAGAAAAAATAAAATACAGAAATGTTTTTATGTTTTCTATCATATGGTTGTAATTTCAACTACCTAGATGGAAAAAAGTTCTAAGTAATAAAGAATTTAGCTAGTAAAATTATCACCAAAATGTTTGCATATTTTTTCTTTATGATATTTTAGTTGTGAGTTTTATTTAGCATTCCTGAAATCTTATAAAAGATCTACTTTGAGTATATTGGCTGGCATATATCACATTTCTCATAATTTTGCCAAGGATATAGATAAATAGAGTTATATGCCAAAAGTCATATTCTGCAAAGTACATATTTGAAATTTTTTACCACTTCTGTTTTGCTCAACACAAATTTTCCTCACTGTATGTTATTGTAACACATATAGTGATAAACCTGGAAAGAAGTCTATGAAGTTTTCTCTACTCTGTGTGTGGAGAGGTGAGGTACACAAATTGTTAAGTGAATGATTATGGCACATCTAACCATTAAGTTACATTAAACGGGAGGTCACGGTCCTCCCGTTGTTCATCGATTTGCTCGAGCAGGCCCAGTAACGTCTCCTTCGTGAGACTTGTTGTTACTGTGTTTGGCACATTGAATATGTCACCAGTAGCTTGCCAGGCTCTGCCGCGTGGGCGAGATACTCTGGGTAGCTTGCCGGGCTCTCTGAGAGGGGCGGAGGATTCGAACTCAGGTCAGCCATGTTGGCTGCGTGCAAGGCAAACGCCCTACCCGCTGTGCTATCACTCGGGCCCATTAAAAAGGTAACACTTAGTAAAAATATTTAAATCACTGAGTCTACCAAGAACAAATGTATAGTATACCTCCATTTTAGAACACAAAATACATTTTTACATCTTTGATAAGAATTAATATTATCCCTTTATTTATATGTGATAATATATATGTGATAACAGAAAGATCTTCATTAATTTAAATTTTGTTTTATATAATCATGAAGAAAACTTTATTCCTCTCTCTTTTCATTGTTTCTAGCTAAATAATAGTTGTATGAAAGGAACAAAGATTGCTGTTACAAAATAGAATAAAAGAATGAATGGAACTGGTCACTAGGAGAATCACACTGTACCCCAATGAGAAAACAACAGTGACTAATTTAGAAGAAAAAAATCGTAGCTAAATAAGCTAATAAACATCTCAGACACAAGCAACCACCATTGTATATATTTATGGAAAAGAAAACATCTATACTGGCATTGAATGGAAATGTTTTCTTCTTTATAATATTTTTATTCCTTTAACATTTTTATTTTCATAACATAAATTGAACTATTTCAGTCTTAGATGTTGAGCCAAATTATATTTTATCAAACAGAATGGTGGTAACTATATTTTTGGTAATGGGTAACAAAAAAACAGTGGAGATGGAATTTGCTATCTGTATAGGTGCTCTCATTTAGTGTGATACAGATGTAACTTTCCTATGAATGTCAGCTGAAATTAACCTCTAAAACATATTCAGAGTAAGTAAGAAATTTTAAAGATCTTTACAAGTTTGTAGACAGGAAAAACTTGTATAAAATATATATACATTTGTATATATGTATAATCTACATCTGTCTTTCTAAACATTACTCCTTTTTGAATTAATTTTTATAGGGAAAAAAGGGGTCCTAAAATATAGATATTCCAGTGTTCGAACATACTTTACGTTCAATTAATCTTACCATTTAAAATGTTTTTCACTTACAATTTATGCATTATTTAAAACTAAATCCCCCAGGGAGCACGTAAGATATTAACAAAATCTTCATCATCTACTATCCCTATACTTAGACCTTCATAATAATCTTCAAATTCACCATATAAAACTTCATCAGACTTGCTGCAGGCATCTTTTAATGTTTCTAGAAAGGATGATTTGATTTCTTCTTCTGTGGACTGGCCTGGAAAATAGTACATAGTATGAAAGAACAGAAGTATGTGATAAAAACTTAATCAATTTATGAAATATTTTCAACAATTTAAAATCTTAGTGAAACTACCCTCCAGTTCATTTAAACATTTTCTTCCATCAGCTAGAATTTACTGTTAATGGTACTAATTCATACGTGAAGCATAATTGAAGCTTCCAGTAGAGTATAGATAAACAAAATAATAGTCAGTACTATATATAGTTTTGTATTTCTTACTGTTAAAAGGAATCATTTCATTCTCATTAGGTATGAGGAAAGAAGGAAATAAGTAATGACTTCAAAGATTAAAGGCTGTGTGTGACATCCCACATTCAAATATTAGCTTTTATATGCATCAGTTACTCATAACTACCGCTAAATTTTTCTGCAAATACAAGATTCAAAAGACTTTGAAATATTTTGCTGTAAGTACTTTTGTTTTATTAAATCATTCTAATTTAATCTGTGACATTAAGTAGGTTATTTCCACTGGGTTGCATTACATATGATTAATATTTTCTTACAGGAAGAAGCAACTGAGAATCATAAAGATAAAAAGGCAATATTTTAAAAAATTTTTTATTTGATTATTTAATTTATAAAGAGAAAAATAAGCTATTTTAAATTTCTTTTATTAAAAGAAATTTCTTTTTATAAAAAGGCAATATTTTAAAATTTTTTTATTTGATTAATTTATAAAGAGAAAAATAAGCTATTTTTAAATTTCTTTTATTACAGTATGGCTTTTATTATAGCGGGGACAGTTAAAGAAAAGTTTAAATACATTTCCTTTTCATTTGCCACCCAAAATGTAGGTACTTCATAATAGAACTTAACTCACAAATTCACCTCAAGCTTACTACCCTAAGTTGCTTGAACTGATCTACTGCTAAGATCTTAACATGGATGGAATGGGGAAAAAATGACATCTGCTGACTTTTTATTTCAAAAGAAATAGAATTAAGGTAAAATAGCAAGCTATAGAGGATGGTCATATAATCTCCAAATAAACAGAAACCCATATACAAAAGTAGCACTGTAGCACTGTCCTCCCGTTGTTCATCGATTTGCTCGAGTGGGCACCAGTAACGTCTCCATTGTGAGACCTGTTGTTACTATTTTTGGCATATAGAATACACCATGAGGAGCTTTCCAGGCTCTGCCATGTGTGTAGGATACTCTAGGTAGCTTGCCGGGCTCTCCGAGAGGGACGGAGGAATTGAACCCCGGTTGGCCACATGCAAGGCAAATGCCCTAGCTGCTGTGCTATTGCTTCAGCCCAAAAATATTATTAAGGAGTAAATCTAAGATGATTGTTTAAATGGATTACTAGCAAAGAAAAGGAGAAAACAACAGCCCTTAGACGTAATTTTGGCCTTGGCAGATCTCCAGGTGGGAATCTAGAGGGCTGAGCATCTCAGTGAGATTCTGTCCTTGGGTGGATCTACTATAACTCCCCCTGGAGGAAGGGCTTCACCTCTGCTCACTTTTAGGTTAATGTGCAACCAAACTAGGAGTATTTGCTACCCCCATCCCTTCACAGGTTCTCTATAATTAATGATGAGAGATTTGAATAAATGTCCACTGATTATCAACCAGCCTGTGGCCCCCGTTCCTTCATTCATTGGCTGGTGGCAGGGGTGGGGGTGATGGGGGATGGTGATTCTGACAATGACATATAGGAGTTGAGTTGGGGAGGGAATCTGGAAACATTGGTGAAGGGGAGAGGTCAATGGTGGGGCAGTGGGTGTTGGAATCTTGTAGGCCTAAAACTCAACTATCGTGAATAGTGCTGCAATGAACATATAGGTACAGATGTCATTTCTACTGTGCTTTTTCTGCATCCTCAGGATATATTTCGAGAAGTGGTAGTGCGGGGTCATATGGAAACTCAATTTCTAGTTTTTGAAGGGCTGTCCTTATTGTTTTCCAGAAAGGCTGGGCTAGTGGGCATTCCCACCAACGGTGAAAGACTGTTCTTTTTTCCCCACATCCATGCCAGCACTGTTTGCTTTTGTTCTTTTGAATGTGTGCCAGTCTCTGTGGTGTGAGATGATATCTCATTGTTGTTTTGATTTGCATCTCCCTGATGGCTAGCGATGTGGAGCATTTTTTCATGTGCCTTTTGGCCATTTGTATTTCTTTTTTTTTTTATGTAGGAGTACTGCTGTTTATTCAGCCACTGATTACCTGATTGAATTGGGCATGAACTCCACCTTACTTTTTTTTTCATAATTTTATTTATTTTTCTTCTTATATTTATTTATTGAATCACCGTGGGAAAAGTTACTAAGCTTTCAGGTTTAAGTCTCGGTCATGCAACGACCAAACAACTTTCCCTTCACCAGTACTCATTTTTCACCTCCAAGCACCCCAATATACCCCCCTCCCACCCCTCCCAATGCCTGTGAGGCAGATGATTTCTACTTAACTCTTTTCTACATTGATTACATTCATTATTTTGACAAAAGATGCACCATTATTGTTTAGAATTTCCCCCCCAACAATCAGAATTGCTGAAAAGGCATTGTGAAATACTTTGTTTTCTGTAGCTGGTTATGAGAATCATATAATGTCACACTGCCATGATTTTGGATTTCTGCAAAGAGCCAGATAATTACGAGATTGGTTTCTGTGTGTCTGGTATTATGGCTGTGCTGGAGAGCCGCTCAGGGGGAGGCAACTCGTGACCTCGGTAGGGCATGATGGACAAGCCGGTACCGCCCTCCTTCCCATGAGACTGCAGTTGCCCCATCACCACTGGCTCAGACCTGGCTTTCCTATAAGCTCTGAGGCAACAGTCACCTTGCTGCCAGGGGGGAAAAGGCAGAAGGGAGCAACACCCTTTCCCTCCCGAGGAGGCATGGCACCATAGTTAAACGCATAGTCCATTCACTTTTCTGCCACAAGCTGCCGGGCTCTGGACTAAGTCCTTTTGCCTCTGGAGCCATGGCCGTGCCAGAGAACTGCTTGTGGGGGGCAACTCGTGACCTTGGTAGGGCGTGAAGGACGAGCCAGTACCATCCCCCTTCCTATGAGACTGCAGTTGCCTGGTCACCGCTGGCTCATACCTGACTTTCCTATAAGCTCTGAGGTGACAGTCACCTTGCTGCTGGGGGGGGGGGGGGGGGAGGCGGAAGCGAGCAACACCCTTTCCCTCCCAGGGAGGCATGACATCGTAGTTTAACACATGGTCCATTCACTTTTATGCCGCAAGCTGCTGGGCTCTGGATTAAATCCTTTTTCCTCTGGAGCCATGGACATGCCAGAGAGCCGCTCGTTGAGGGCAATTCATGTCCTCGGTAGGGCGTGAAGGATGAGCCGGTGCTGCCCCCCTTCTCATGAGACTGCAGTTGCCCTGTCACCACCGGCTAATACCTGTCTTTCCAATAAGCTCTGAGGCAGCAGCCACATTCTATGTGGTCCAGATGCATTTCTGCCAAAAAGCCGCTGGGTTTCGAGATTTGTTTCTGAGTCTCAGGGATCATGGCCATTAATCAGCTTGCTCAGGGGCCAGAGAGGCTGTTTGTAGGCAGCGACTCGGGGTCTCGCTTGGATGGGGAGAAAAGGGCCGGAACCAACCCCATCTGGTGAGGCCCCGTGTGTCTTTTCACTGCAGGCCCAAACCTGACTGTTTAGTGGCCTCTGGAGGATGGTGGTCACCAGGCCGTCAGGGGGAACAGGCCAAGGCATGAAACCTATTCCCACCTGGAGTGGCCCAGCGCCAGTAATCTACTGCAGGAGCAGGACACATTTCTGCCAAAAGCCTTTGGGTTCTGAGGTTCGTTTCTGAGTCTCTGGGATCATGGCCATTAAGCAGTTTGATTAGGAACCAGAGAGACCATGCCTCCAATTATATAGCTGAGTTGGAGGTGGTTTGTGGGTGTGTCTCCCACATACCTAACTTTTGGCCATTTACTTTCTTGGTAAACTCTGCCCCAAGTTTTTGGGGTCTGGTCAAAGGCACAGCAGCAATTTTGGGGTATCTGAAAGTCTGACATTGCCACCAGGCTGCTGATGCACTCACCTCACAGGTACAGACTGACCTGCTGGCGGCACCATACCCCCTACATTTGTATTTCTTTTTTTTTGAGGAAACTTCTGTTCATTTCTTCTCCCCATTTTTTTGATGGGGTTGGAGGTCTTTTTCTTGTACAATTCTACTAGTGTTTTGTATATCTTGGATATTAATCCTTTATCAGATGGGTATTGGTAAATATTCTTTCCCATTCTGTGGGCTCTTCCTGTATTTTGGTCACTGTTTCTTTTGAAGTGCAGAAGCTTCTTAGTTTGATGTAGTCCCATTTGTTTATGTTTGCTTCCACTTGCACGGTCAGTGCTGTTTCATCCTTAAAGATGGTTTTAGCTTCAATGTCGTGGAGAGTTCTGCCTACATTTTCCTCTATGTACCTTATGGATTCATGTCTGATATTGAGATCTTTAATCCACTTTGATCTGACTTTTGTGCCTGGCATTAGACAGAGGTCAGAGTTCATTTTTTTGCAGGTAGCTATCCAGTTTTCCTAGCACCACTTGTTGAAGAGGCTTTCCTTGTTCCACTTCACATTTCTTGCTCCTTTGTCAAAGATTAAATGGTCATATATTTGGGGGTCTGTGACAGAATATTCAACTCTGTTCCATTGGTCTGCAGGTCTGTTTCTAGCCCAATACCTTGCTGTCTTTATTACTACTGCTTTGTAGTACAGTTTGAAGTTGGGGAGAGTGATGCGACCCATCTTCTTTTTCCCAAGGATTATTTTAGCTATTTGTGGGTGTTTATTATTCTATATGAATTTCAGGAGTGTTTTGTCTACTTTTTTGAAAAATGTCATGGGTATCCTGGTAGGGACTGCATTGAATTTGTATAGTGCTTTGGGCAGTATTGCCATTTTGATAATGTTAATCCTCCCTATCCATGAGCAGGAGATGTGTCTCCATTTCCTAGTGTCCTCTTTTATTTCTTGAAGTAGTGTTTTGTAATTTTCCTTGTA